CGGGAAGGCCAGCAGAGGGCTCGCCCGAGCCGGGAACCGCCGCGTGAACCCACAGGCGAGGCAGTGAACACACAATTAACTGCATTTCCTTCCTCCCCGACGCTGCTCTGCTCGGAGCCTCCGTGTTGCACAACAGTTAAACCACAAGGCTGCGACAGCCTTGGACAGTCTGATGGCCCAGGCCAAGGATGGGGACTGCCCCAGGATGAGCTCAATCCCTGGTTTTCAGCAGGTGGGATGTTACTCTGAACCCGCCCTTGTAACCACTAAGGTGGGGACAATAACCCCAGGGTGTGCAGATGGACCAGCCCATCTTACCATTGGAACTAACATTTTAATTATACTTTATGTACCAAAAAAATGCTTTTAAAAAATCCCTTAAACCCCCAAGACTTCACTTTTCCAGAGTAATCAAGACAGGGCCAAACACTCAGATGGTCAGTGCACCTTCAAGGAAAAAAAAATATACACCTTAAACAAGCAGGATTTGGTGGTAGTGGATTTGGGGGTTTTCTGTTTTTTAAAGCCAAAACCAAAAAATGTCTAAACTAACATTCTCTGGAAGTGGCTGCAAGTGAAGTTTCAACCCCCAAGCAGCAGCCAGTGCTAGAGCACAGTCTGAATGGGATGAAATGCCAAGGAACCAGCTAAAGAAAGTCAGTTATTAGGAGTGAGATGTGGTAATTCAAAAGCCTCTCTATAAATTTTTTCCAGGTGGGTTTCCTGACAATTTTGTAGTTTCCAAAATCATCTACGTTCCTATTAAGAGTTGTCAAAAAAGACTCTCAAGTATCATATTTAGAGGGCTAAAAGGGACACTCAACCTGACACTATTCAACAGTATCTGGAAGTCAAAGGCCCATCATGGGCCTGATGTGCAATGCCCCAGTGCAGCCAGGGGAGAGCTGGAGTGGGACAGGATAGGATGGGGCAGGACAGGATGGGATGGGACAGTCATGCTGGGCTGGGCCAGGCACTGCTCAAACCACTGCCCCCCCAACTACTGCAGAGCTCCAGCCCAGAAAACCCTGTGGGCTCACAGTAAATTGGAGGCACACTGCTAGGACACACATCAAATGCAAAGCTGATGAGAAGTCTGAGATCACTGCACTGAAGTGTTTTAAATACCCAGAAAGAGTTGAACCCATTAGAATTCCTCCTTCACAAACCCTGTTCTTACTGGCACACTCTGGCCTTGAGAAGAACCCATGAAATAAAGAGGCAAAATCTCTCCAAACATCAAGTCCTAACGTGGTCTGTACGTTGCTGACACACACAAAGTGGAACTAATTTTTCCTAATTTCAGGCATTTTAAAGTTGAGCTCTGTCCTTAAAATCAGCCCCATGGTCCTGCATGAGAGCAACACACCTGTCCCCCATTGAGATGGAAATGAGTGACACACTGTGCAGACCAGAACAGCAGGAACATCATGGATCAATACAGCCTGTGATACAGGTATCCTGCAGCTCTATATTCCTTTGCTAAGGTACCCTCTTTCCCCTGCATGGAGTTTACTGCAGATGCCATTGCGAAGGGCTGACATTTAGACATACCAGTGTTGACTAAAACATCCAGGTTAGACACATAAGAATTAATATTTATATGTCTTAAGTAGGACTACGTTCTGAACACCAGCAAAACAAGCTCATACATGCAGACTTCATGTCAACACGGTGCCTTGCAGAGGCACCCACAGCTCAGAGGAAGTCAGACAGACACTTTGATGTGGCTCTCCATGAGAAGTAACTAGCACTCGCCTCAGCAGAACCAATTAGACCCACAAACCTTTTTAATTTAGTAAGGTTGCTTCCAGAGCTCAAGCCAGTTCGCCCAAAAGACTGTACATATATAGCCTTGAATGCTCAGGGCCAGGGTTCACTGGGCACAACAGGACTGGCTGTGAAACCGTTCCCTGTAAATTATGCAGGTGCCTGCACTCAGGCTGAAGCAAGACAGGATATCCAGCTCAATGCTACTGTGATGCTTCTGAACTTCCTTCAGCATCGCCACATGCAGCCAATGCCACCCCAGAAATCAGAGAAAAGGATGCACTCACCTGCTCTCATTATCCAGAAACACAGAGCTAGTGCTTTTCCCAAGGGCTTCACTCATGGGAGAGAGGCAGAAGGGGGAAGAGAAGGCATCAGAATCAGAGTCAAAAGTGCTGTCCCTGCTCACATCATCAGCAGACAGCTCCAAGGAGCCCTCGTCCTCCCCTGGCTCTGGTCTGCAGTCCAGACCTTCCTCTGTCCCCTCCAGTGACAGCTCCGACCTGTTCTGCTCCTCCTGAGAGCTGATGGTCGAGAGGATCCCCGAGTCACTGCGGGCAGGCAGGGGGCACCGCCGGGCGCCGTCGGGGGGGTGGGGGAGGCGGGCCGGGCGAGGCCGAAGCCCTGCGCGTGGCGGCCGCGCTTGCGGGGAGCCCTGCGGACGGGGGAGCCCTCGGGGGTGACGTAGCGCAGGGCCTCCTCGTCCTGCCTCTGGATACGGGCGTTGGGCACCCAGGCGAGGATCAGCGTGGTTCCCAGCAGCTCATCCTTCTCCATGTACAGACACAAGTAGCCTTCGGGAGAGCAAAGGAGCCATCGGTCATGACACAGCTTTGTCCTTAGGAAGCTGCAACATTTGCCCTTCCCAGTCTCCCCCCCACTTCACCACCATTACTCATGGGCAAAACAAACCCTTCTATTTACCAGCAGATAATTCTGCCAAACGAATCGTGGAGAGTTCAGTATTTCCAATTGATTTCAATTCTGCATATGGCTTTTCAATAGTCTTAATTCCCTCTGGCCTAAATGGACATAGAAATGACATGCAAATGCTTCAAGTTCCTGGATGGGTTACTAAACCAGAGTAAATTCTGAAATATGCTGCCACATGAAAAACTTCTGCTGTTTGTTAGTTAAACAATTGCAAGTGCCAGCTAAACATTTCTTTCTCAAGAATATTTACCTTAGTGTAGCTAAAGGGCTACAATTTTCATGGAAAGCAAACAGAAAACAGAGTGTCACACATACAAGAAGGGAAGCATGGGTCAATGTTCACAGAATAATTGGTTTTGTGAAGCTAAGCCAGTAACCACAGCTCTCTTTGATGACAACATGAAAGAACAGATGAAAATAAAGGGACAGAGCAGTATTTATCTTTGTTGACTCCAGCACATGCAGCCACAACCAGGTTTTCTTTCTTTTCCCTTTACCAGTGGCTGTTGAGGCCACTCCAGCAAAATGAGAGTTGCAAGATTATACTTGGCTTTCCTGATCAATGCTCCTGTTTGAAGGAGCAACAGAAGCTGCTGTCCTCCAGTGACAGCTGCCCATCTCCTGGCAATGCGAAAGGACTAAAACAGGTACATTGACAACAGAACACAAAGGAGAAATATCATTGATTTCTACTAAAATAAGAGCTGATGGAACACCCTGTGGAGGGCTTTCCTTAGTCCTCTCTAAGCCTGCCTTACCCTGTCCACCACACTTCATTATTTAGAGCCCAAAAGGGAGAATTTGATCCAAACACACACCCCAGGAGAGAGAAAAAGAGAGAGTGAGCAGTGTCTGCAACACTGCCTCACCTGGATGATGCTCCCCGATGCTTTGCAGCAGTTCAGGAGGGTGGACACAGACATTGTTCTTAGAGTAGATAATCTCCCCGTCCAGTATGGAAGGTGAACTGCTGCCACCACCAGGACTGAAGGTCAGGAGGTCGGAAGCTTTTGAAGAGGCACGACGGAGGAGTCGCCCCAGAGACATCGCCGAGGAAATGTTTCCATTATCTGTCAGCTTTAATCAGGAGCCAAATTCAGAAGATCTGCCAAGGAGGAGGAAAGAATCGTGTTAGAACAAATATAACAGCAGCACAGCACGTGCCTTCATCTGTCTGAGAAGGAAGAGGTCTCCCATCAACTGCTGCATCAATCCTACAACTCAAGGAAAAGCCTCCAGATGTTCTGGATCTGTAACATCACCTCTGTGTTTTAAAGATGCTAAAGTACAGAATCCCAGGATGTTTTTCTTTTCAGTGCAGTAATAGGAAGGCATGAAAAAAACCCACATTTTAGTAGTTACTGTGCAGAAGAAACAGAGAAGTAATGCTTGTCACTGGAAATTGCCCATTAAGGGAGTATCTCAGTGACACAGAGCTGCCTGGTGTGTCACTGTCCTAGGGATGTCACAGAGTCAGAGTAGACCCTGGAGGATTCACTCAGCACAGAAAAACTGCTGAGGCTGTGACATTAAATAAGGGGCTGCTGCTTCATCCACTGATCTAAAAAACAACAAACATTAATCAAAAGGAGTTCATCTTGTGCCCACTGACTTTTGGCATAAGCATGTTCTGCATTTGAGGCTTCTGGGTTGCAGTTCGGTTTTGGAACAGTGATGGTTAAACTTAAACAGAGATTTTCAGAGATAAGTGGCAAGAGACCCATGTTCAGCAGAGCAGGCAGACACCAACAGCAGAAAAAGGCACACCAACCCAAAGCAAACATTTCCTCCATCAATAGGGAACCATCTAACTGTGGAGTAAGAGCCCCAACTAATCACTGAGAAAGCGTTGCACTCAAAAGAGACGTGCTCCTCATCTGGGCTGTTGAGAGCAGCTCTGCAGTGAGCTAGAGGGGCCACCCAAGCTATAAACTGTTCATCAGACAGATCAGGAAGGCAACTTGATGTGCTGAAACAGCCAGTAGATCTTGCACAAAGCAATCCCACAGGAAGCCCAACACAATTCAAGGCAAAGCAGGTTTTACCTGCTGCTGCCATCCCTAGCTGGGAAGCAGACCATCAGAGGCACAGCAGTTTCTGTTCTGCCAAAGTACACCAGGAGAGGAAGCATTGACTTTTGTTCCTTTGTATTCACACATTTACTTACTCAAGAACAGGCCAGTCTGACCCAGCACACCCCACACAGTGCCAGGGTGCCAGGCCCACGGGCAGCATGTGGTGGGATCAGCTCAGAGCCCCACACCACGGCCTGCAGAGCACAGCAGGGGTGGCCAGAAAGAAAAGCAGACAGGTCCTGGTGGTACTGCCAGGGGTTTTGTTAGCAGGAAACATTTAGGGGCCTAAAGCAAACATGGTCAAACACTGAAGAGCTCCGATTGCTTTCAACACAGTTTGAAGGATATCTGCAGACAAAGGAGGAAGTGGGAGGGCAGAGGGGACACCAGCACTTCCAGAGAGCGTGTGGAACCTGCAGGGAAGGAAAAGAGCTGTCCTGGCTCTGACAGAGCTGTATGGACAGACGGTTGCAAACGAGACTGCCAAGCTGTTGCCAGAGCCTTCATTAAAGGACAAACTATCAGTTTAACAGGCAGTTGCTGGATTTGTCAGCTTGAATCACAGCAAAAGCAGCTTCTGCATTTCAGTCTTTGCTGGAGCTCGATGGAGAAGCCTCCACCCTGCTGTGCACTGTGCCCAGCAAGTGTGTGGACAAGAGAATCACTTTGCAAGTCCTTTGCACCCGTGTCTCCCAGCTCCAAACACAGCACATACCTTCATCTCTCAGCCCCAAAACCCAAACACCAATGGAGCCCTATGCTCATTCTTGTCCAGATCATCAAAAAACACAGTATGGTTTCAGGCTCTGGGTGACATCTTGGAGAAAGTAATTTGCCCCAATCACATTTAAAGAGCAAGTCACCTTTCCTCTCATTGCACCCTGCAAGAACACAGACAGTAAATCTGCTGCAATTCCTCCTTCCCACTAGCAAGTTACAACACACCATTTCAACAGAGCGTGGAGGGAGCCCAGAGCAGTGGAGCAACCTGCAGAGCATCAGAGGCCCTGGGGCTGCAGCACAGCTGGAGAGGCTCCTCTGTCACCACAACTTTCTGTGGGCAGCACAGTCTGCTCAGCTGGGTCCCACTGCTGTCAAGACTGAAACCAGCCTGGATGTCCAGACCTTCAGCTGTGTCACCTACTGCAGCATAACTCTCAAAGTGCAAAACCCTTGAAAGCAAAGGTGGAGAGAACTGGTACCAAGTGGCTGTTGACCAGGGAATCCTTCCTTGGAAAAGTAAGCTAAGGACAGTAGGTGGAGATGCATGTACAAAACAAGAGCTTGTGTGATGTTCCCCTGCAGCTCTCCAGGGGCTCTCAAGAACACAGGCAGAGGTGCAGGACTTCTTGGCCAACAGAGGAAGGATTTAATTAGCTTTTACCTAGCAGAGAAAGAACAAAGCAACAGGTAAAAGACCAAGAGCTGCTCCCTGGACAGCAGGGGGAATTCAAAGGGAAGTATCACTTTGATCCTGCAGAACACCTGCTGCTTCTGCACCACCTTGGTGTGTAGGTACACACACCTGTACACAGGCTGGGAGGAGTCAAAAAACACAATAGGAGATGAAGAGTATGGTGTCCTGCCAGCAGAGAAATGTAGCCCTGCGTTTGTACTGCAAAAGAGCTATGCATCAGAAATCAAAGAGAGTCCACTACAATGCTGCAAACAAATAGCCAAAGATACTGAGATGTATCAATAAGCCTTAATCTGCTCATTATTGCCACAGGCTAAGGAATTCTGCGTAGCTTTGGTTGCAACCAAAGAAAAACATTAAAGAAAAATAGATACAAGTCACTGGACAGTTTCAAGGAGAGTGACAAGACTAATCTGGAAAGAGATTGTCAAAGGAAGCTTAAAGAAAGAGAAATGTCTTCATACATGTGAATTGTCACTGCCAAAAAATGGAAGAGCTATCTGTGGAGGTCAGGAGAAGCAGTAGGACAATGGAACTGTGCCAAGGAATATCCAGTTTAGGTACTCTGATAGCAGTGATAATGGTGTCCCAGAACAGGGCAACCTGAAGAGGCCATTTCTGCCACTGGAGGGTTGTGAAGACAGGCTGCAGACACAGGGAGGCAGGCAGTCTCAGCTAGGCCCTGGTGATGGACTGCACTCTGAAGCTCATCTAGTTTACTTGTACAACCCCAAAAAGTCCCTGAAACACACCTTGTGGCTGTGCCTCTCCTTCCCAGAAGACAGGAGTTCACAGAACACAAACCAGTAAGTAACAAAAAGACCAAATCTGCAGGATTTGCTCTATTCTGAGCCCTTTTCTGGGCAGGACAAGGCGTGCACACACAGGCCACTGGGCGTGAGGAGAAGCAGGCAGTGCTGCTGCCTCCTGTGTGGGATTGGGAAGGCAGGTGGGAACTGTCCCACAGCAAGGTCAGCATCAAATTAGCACCTCTAAAAAAAAATTGTATTTTTCATATTAGTTTTCTGTTTAACTCCTGATCTGAAAGGATTCTTTCCACTGAGGCAGAGACAAGCCAGCTCTCCAGAAGCTGAAGAACTGAATTAGCTGACAAGCTCTTGCTGAGTGCCAATATTTATCAAGCACACACACATTTTCTTCTCCCACACATCAACTGTCGCTACTAAAAATCCTTGCTACAGCTACCGAGCCTGTTCACACAGCCCCTGGCTGCTCTCCCAGTCAGTGCCAGCACCTCTCCACTCTACCAGAGCTCAGAAACACACTGGAGAGCCAACTCCTGAAGTCACCCTCTGCCCAAGAGCCTGACCACTTCCAGCCAGCAGCATCTCAAATAACACCGGCTGCTCGTCTCCCATGGAAATGCCCTTCCCTTTCCTATAAGCTGAGAAACAACAGAGCTGTTTGCCTTGGCAGATCACACCCTCACCTTGGCAGCCGCTGCTGGACCAAATGTTGCTGCCTCCGGTTGCACAAGATTCCTGTATTCTGGCAAAGGAGGGTGATGCAGGGCTCCTGCCTGGCCTGACACAGGCTCCAGCACATTATCCCTGGCCTGTGCAGCACACGCTGCCCCGGGAGCAGCTCAGGAGCACAAGGCCTCCCTGGCAGTCAGTCCAGCCCAGGGAGGCAGGTGGCAGCCAACGGGTCGCACCACTGAGGCCTCGCGACTCCAAAGGCAAATTTGCTGTGCAAGTTTAATGGCTTTACAAGCACCACAACCCAAGCTACAGGGGTCTTAAAGAGAAACTTGAGACCTACAGCATGTCCAGGCACAGAGGAGAATCAAGAGCTGTTGAAACAGCAGCACCAAATTTAAGTGTGAAATCCCCAAAGCAAGAAAAATGCAACAGGCGTTTTTTTTTGTTTCCCCTTAATAACTGACATTTGCTGTTACATATTTAAGGAGCACACAGTCACTGCAGCAGGGAGGTCTCAAACACGGCAGAAGTCCCTGCCTCCTCCTCCCCTCGGGAAGAGCAAGAGCTGGGTGTGCATTCCTGGAGGCTGAAGCACCGGTCACTGCGTGCTGGGGGCAGAGGGACTGGAAAAGCCCAGGAGTCAGGACTCGCAGGTTCCTTCCAGTTCTCCCACTGGATTTTCTGTGCCACACTCACTTGATCTATACTTCTCTGTGTATACGTGAGAGCCCTCACAACGATCCTCCCTTTGTACTGCAATCCCTCTACATTAGGAGGAAAAAAAAGCTTTCAAAACCAGATATTAGCTGGAGCTATTTCAGGTGACCTAGCCAAATCCAGGAAAAAAAAAAAGTTTACCATAGGGAGCCATTCTGAAGTTATCCCATTTCAGGAAGAGAATTATGTAGGTCACCAAAAAAGTCTTCTCATCCCGGCCCGGCCGGTGCAGCCCACGTGGAGCAGAGCAAAGGCAGAGCAAGAACAGACACCAGCAAGGGCTGACATCCCCACGCTCCCACAACTCCCATTCCAAGCACTTCAGTGGGACGGATTGTGCCCAGATGCATCTCAGCTGGGCAGGTGAAAAAGGGACAGCAGACTGAATGCTGCAAGGTGGTGACTCAGAGATGAAAAGGGAAAGGCTCTCCTCAGGGCCTGCCTGCTGCTCCCAGCCACACCTGCCCGGGCACAGAAAAGCAAACAAAAAGATTCCCATCCCTCTAGCACTGAAAATCAAACCACAACACACGCTTTAGGGCTCAGAAATTACTTGTGCCATATGTCCTCCCATCCCAAGATTAAACACGATTTCATAGCACTTAACTGCAGTGCCTGTGCAGGAGGCAGCACTTCTGTGGCTTTTTATTTCCAGCATCCTGCAGCCATGGCCTGGAAATGTTCACAGTACTAGATCCCTAAATATCCACAGCTAAAATAATTCCAGGAGCCTGGTTTCACAGCTGAATTGATGAACGGATTGGAAAGTCTTTTCTGCCACACTGACACTGGAAAAGTCTCTCTCCCCTGCCACGGGCAGGACCATGCCCACTTCCCATGCTCTGCCCCATCCTGGCTCTCAGGTTCACACCAACCACACAGCCAGACACACACAGTAAACCTGGACATCCAGCAAACCCAGCACTGGGTCAGAAAAGCAGCTTTCAGATACTTGTTTTCAGCCAGTTTACCACCAGAACGAGCTCCTCTAAGCCTACAAACCTAAAGGTTTCTACAGAAGCAGCAGCAAGCCCCAGACCCTTACCCTGAGCTGTACTGGTCTTACCATACCTGCTCTTTTCTCTTAAAAGACCTTTCTTACTTCCTATTCAGGGTGGCAACTAAGAACACACACCTTTGCAAGACGGGCTGCCCGCTGGAGAAGAGAGGGCCTGCCGGCGGCAGGGAGGAAGGAGCAGGGTTATCTCGCAGTGCCAGCAGCACATCCCACCGCCCTGCCCGCAGCGCATCATCCCCGCGGGTCCCGAGCATCCCCCGTCACGTCTCGGCTGGTAACTGAGCTCAGCGAACCCAGAGGGAGATGCCGGGCCAGGGGAGAGCCACGGCAGAAAGGAACGCACGGGAACCCCCCGTTACCGGCCGCGCGGGGCGGCGGGTGAAGTTTGAGGCGCGTTTTGGGTTCCGCTCCCCGCACGGAGCGCCCGGGGCTGGGCAGGGAGGGGAGGGACAGAGTGGGAAAAAGAAACGGACTCGTCCCCAGGGAAGGCCAGCGGGGCAGCGCGTCCCCAGGACGCGGACTCGTGTGACACGGACACGCGTGGGGAGCGGCGGGTCCCGCTGCCCCGCCCGCCCCCG